CATTCACCATCCGACCAGCCCAATTTACCCCCAAATTTATACTTCGTCATCCATTCACCTTCAGTTATGCTCAGAGCCTGCTTTATTCTTCTTATGATGATTATCCAGTAATTACTAAACACATGTTCTGCATCTTTTCCAACGTCTAACCATTCTTATTCTGTTGCAAATGTTTTAAGTTTCATGTCTGTATTACTGACATCTATTGTAGAATTTCTAGCCCATCATATTCTGCAATTCAAATCAAAGTTATTTCCACTACCACATCTGCCAATTATTATCAGCAATTCTAGGCATTTTATTTGTCAACGTCATACTGTTTTGATCCACATTACGCTATTTCGACCCGGGCTGATCTATCAAGCACCAACTTGAGTATGGAGAATTCACATCAGCATCTTAGCGAACAAAGCAGTCACTTGCTTCTTGTTTCATTCAGATATTTCTGATTTACTTGTGCCATATCAACCTGTGCGCAGTAGCAGATCCTCGGAAAGAGAAGGAAAGTTGTATCACCATGCTCCTTGTAAATGGAATTGAGATTAAGAGATCATTTATTTGTTATTTCAGTGTTGCGTCACAGTAGGAATGAGGAGCACACGACACAAGATAAATAAACAATAACTATATTAAAATACAAAAAAAATGTAATTGCTGTGCTTGATGTCGTCAAACGTGCGCCAACATTTGAGTTCATTTAAGTGTAACTACCGATGAATTCATTCAATCATTTCAATACCTTCTAGTCCTTGACCATGCTCACCCTCTGCATCCAAAAATACCTTCAGGAACCAATCTCATTCTATACAGTCCTCTATAACACTCGTACTATCTCAGTGCAATGTTGTGTCTACAATTTTCTTGTCCTTATAGCAGTGGCTTCTCGTTTATTCAATCGATATTCTGCAAATCGACCAGTTCACAGCATGTTCCGCTCCTCCATCTGTCGTCCATTGTTTCAAATATACTTCAGGTTAATGGATCCTTCTATTACCAGGTTCTCAGACCTGTTTTCCCACTTGCCAGAATCCATTGTACACACTTAAGAAAGTCTGATCAGATCTGAATTGCGTCTATTTTGCCTCAGCTCCTTTGTCTCGTTCAACTCCAGACATGCATGCATTTGTGAGTGCGTAATGGACGAGCCTGGTACATGCACATACGTATAGGTTGTGCACTTTTGATTATCCCCGTAGGGCATATTATCCTCTGCATTTGACTGCAGAGGATACCAGTATGTGTCCCCTCCGACCACCACCAACCATTCTCACACACCAGACTCGATCATGGCAATGTGGTTTATTATTTTGAATATATAATGTTAGGGAAATGTAACACAAACTGGCGTAATTCTGGCTAATAAAGAGTCACATGCTTTGGCTTTTTCACACATCTCCATTTGTTTACTCACTTGGGCATTTGGTGAGGATGAAACGAAACATACTGCAAGAGTTACACGGCCTGAGCTACTTTTTGTTTTCAACCACAAAAACTACTTGGGGACTTTGTGCGCTGGAACAATTTGCTTTGCATATAACGGTAAGGCGACAAGACAAATGGCCCTTAAACTTCTTCTGCAAAGTTCAGTGGGAAGTCCAGAGTGCAAGGACACCTGCGGTTTTCGGTTCTGTGTTTATTATAACTGGGAATTGCTGAAACCCTCACAATGTGATGTGATACATTTCTCACGTCACAATACAGCATTTATTGATATACAGTATATGGTTATCAATTAAAATATAACAATTACTCTTTAACAGATCTATTGGTCATTTGTTTCAAAAGCCTGTGGACCTCCTGTGGACCTCCTGTGGACTCACCACCTGCAGGGAGATCAGTGAGGGTCTGGTGCTCAGTGAAATGGGTTCACCTCTGACCTTTCACCCTCTGACCCAGAAATAGATTTAGGGGAAGAAAATGCATGGATGGATTGTTTCAAAAGCTGTTGATACATTGCCATTATTGTATACAGTGATTGCCAAAAAACAATATTCATAATCTGCAGCTCTTCTGTAAACTTAGTTTAAATTCTAACAGCCATGATCGGCTTCCGCTAATATTAAACGTGTGAACATTCGTTCCCAGTTACACATTCAAGAACAATATCAAAGCACATATAGCAAGTAGGCACAATTCCATCAGTTCTAAAAATGTGTCGTTCCCACCTCCTCCTATACATCTCCGCTGTGCACCACAGCTCTTCACGCTGGAGAAAGAGAATTGATTGATTTTCTTTTTTTTCCTTCTTTTTTTTAAGGCATGAAGTGTTTTAGTAGTTTTTTTGAGAGCGTTTTGGGTGCGTGATTCCATGCTGTGCAAGCTGCAGAAACCACAGCGCACTAATGTACCGACAGCTGCAAGAGAAGTCTGAACGCCGTTGTTATTTCAGGCCAGCATGAACCAAACAGAATCCTTAATCAAAACACTGTTTGTTTTTATTTGGAGATTTGGCTCATGATTCTCTCAAACTCTGCTTTGGTTTCTTTGGTTCATTTGTTTCTAGTTGCTGAATCTGACAATCTGCATTACCTGATGCAGTCACTACATGGGCGAAAGGAAATCATATAATCTTTCTCAAAAGATTGAACAAAACAGGTGCCGATTGGTGCCTGACCCTTACACAAGAAGCGGAAGTAAGACGTCACCACAACTTTTACTTGGAGTGTAAAATAATCAATGTGCTCCTCTCTAACAATCTGATACATTGATCCATGCTCGGCTTGTTTTTCTCTATCCTTGTATGAAATAAAATGTTTGTTTTTTTATTGATCTGCATTGAACCATGTAAAAAATTCCAGTTGTATTCATATATTGTTTTACTCCTAACTTCTATCCAAGGCTGCTCCAACAAAGGCCACAACAACACAACTCATTCAAGCTCATCTATCGATTTCAGTAATCCAACTTAAAATGTGAAGCCACTTATGAATGGGACATATGCCAATTCCTTCGTTTGTTTTAATTCTGATGTTTGCAGTCTATTCTCAAAATATTCACATTTTTGAGATTGGGATTTTTACAAGCCGTCTTTACAATTATCAACATTTAAACAAATAAAGGATTGCTGTAATGAGTCCATCTTGTAGTTGCACATTGTTAGTTGAATTAAAGAAATGATTAGACTTTTGAACCAAAATCTTAAGCGTTTCACATGGGAAAATTCAGGCATTGGCAAGGCAAGTTTATTTGTATAGCACAGTTCATACACAAGGCAACTCAAAGTGCTAAAAAAACAAGAGCCACAGGAAGCCGGTGAGACCTGAGGACTGGACTAATGTAATTGTACTTCCTGGTTCTCTTCCAGGACTCGAGCTGCAGCATTTTGAAAATACTGCAAAGTAGTTTTTGGAAAATAAAACAAATCCACTGTATTGGCACATGTTAGGACAATAGTTTGTTTTTGTGTGTTGCTTTAGTAATGTGTGTTGCTTTAGTAATGTGTGCAGCGTTGAACATTATTGCCACATTTTCTTGCCCAATAAAACTTTGGGATATCCTTTTGGAGTTTTTGGCACACGTGGTTTGTGATTGGCCTCTAAACACTGCCTGTTCATTTGTGCTGGCAGCAGGAAGCCTGTATTAAGTGCTACATATTGGGTTTTTGAATGGCACACTGGGTTCGACTGTTCTCTTGTATACCTGATTGAAGCTTGCCGATTTCCCTGGCTGGTACATGCAGTGATTTGAATTATAAATGTCTGCCTACATGTGCTCCAGGGACAATGCTCGCGGCAAATATGCACCTCCAGCATTCACCATATTTCTCCTGAAAGATTCTTTGTTGTATTTGGAGTGTAAAGAGACGTGTGGCTTTGCCTCAGGGGCTGCACCGTATTGTCTCAGCAGAAGCTTGGGGGAAGTGCAGTGGGCAATAGACGCATTAAGAAGCACAATTTGATCTAAAGCTGCGTTTGGTGCCGTATGTAAATGCTAAACCCTTATTGTTCCATTTCTCATGAATGCCTGAACAAAATGTGAGTTTAGATCATCTTAAAATCGCAATCTTATGGTGAATATTTTAAAATCATGTTTTATTATGTGAATAATTTTTACCAATACATATATTATACTGGGTACGTTGGTCAAAAAATGCATTATTTTACAAATTAAATACAATTGAAGTAGATCATCTTTTATAGTGCTGTGCCTGGAAACAAACATTTATTTCAGGTTCTACATGTGGTATGTCTGACTGGATTGATTTGAGTTCAAATAAACCAAGCATATATGCTCTAGTTTGTATGAACATATAACTATCATTCTGGGATTCCACAAAGCCAAAAAAATTAAATATTGTTAAGGTCTGACAGGCCTAGATAAAATTATACTAATATTTTCCATTTAGCCACATGGCCATGTCCACAATTTACTTCGCCAATGCTGCTACGCTATCCAAATTTCACCCACTAGCTTATGACGAGCAAGATTTTTATATTTTTCTCTGCATATTTCTGGCTCGCTCACAAAGATACTTGCCAGTCAGTCCATGTACATTTGTTTTTTGCTACTGACCAGCTGCTGCTTCTACAAAATACTTGACTGATGGTAACCGTAGCGAGAGGAGAAGCCAGCACAAAGACTTTCGTTGTTTTTTTGAGCTGCTCCCTCTAGGCGCTATCATTACCTCCCATTTCTTCCATCATATATGTCAGATAACAAGTCAACTCCGGAGCTATGGCCTTAGACTGCAGGTTCCAGACAGTAGGAGCCGGTTTCCACCGACGGATAGGCAAACTGTGTGACTAATCGGTGAGGACCAGCAAAGGACAAAAGTTAATCTTTGTGAATTATAGGGCTTAAAGGCACCGCTGAGAGCTACTGTCACAAGTGCCATTTGGGAGTGCCAAGTCACAAAATGAATGTTGAGTTGAACACGTGTTGCCTTTTATTGAGTTGCAGATGTAGAATTTTAATAACATCTTTTACAGATGCAAGCTTCCTACTTTTATCAGCTCTCCGGTAATCTGCTCTCCATCTAACTGACTTTTCACTGCCCACAGTTGCAGCAGGAGGCCAGGAGAGTCGTGCTACAGACCAACACTATCAGCATGTATGGAGGGAGAGGAGATCGACCAGCGACCCCTACTGGTCATATTCAGGTGAGTGTGTGTGTGTGTGCGTGTGAATGTGTGTGTGCAAAGCGGCAAAATGGATGTCTATCATAAACATCACCCCTCTTCAGCTATAGATTAATTTATCGGCTCAAAGAATACCCATATGCCTCGTGTTCGGTTGTGTTGCTATGTTGTGGTTTTCTGTTTGCCCGTTATTCACATTTGCACATCAAAAGAACTACCCAATTAGCCACTAATTCAAACAAATTGGCACCTTCTTGTGTAAGTGCTGGAAGTACAGCGCTTTGCATTTCCAATACGCGAGAACCTGCCAATTTTGACATTTTTTCCATCGCAGTCATTCTCAAAAATCAACTGTTATCACACATCACATTCTGAAATCATGCACATCTAATTAATTCTACTTTGAACATTTTATTTAGTTTTTTACTAAATACGTCTCCCCGGACACTGTTAAATTGCTCATTTACCATGGATTATTAAGGTGGATTGAATAGTCTTCGTATTCTCTCTGCTAGCTTGTGAGACTAAAATATTTGCATTTAACCGTCAAACATCTATTATCTTTTCAACGGTCCTGAAGCGCCCCTCGTACCTTTGCCAATATTAAGCATCGCCGTCAGTCCAAATCATACGGTGCAGCAGAAGTTAACAGAGTAATTACGTTACGAGTACAGTGCGTGGACAGTAAGCGCTCATTTAGTGACATTTGTAGACGACCTTTAAGCCCTCGTGTGAACATAAAGCGTCCACTAAACAAACAGTTGTTCTCAGTAAGTATCATAAACACCGGGAGGCATATAAATCCCTCCTACACAGCCCACCTCCAGAAACAAATAAAGATCCAATAACAGTGTCAACACTCGACTCTCGCACTATAAAACAGCCTAAACGCCTCTCTTCTGCATACTTCTGAGTTTGCATTAACATAAGGTATTAGCAAAGAAACAGACGTCCCTGCGAAAACATAGCCAGAGTTGTTGTTTAAATTGCCTCTTCCATTATTGATAATATACATGCTTTTTATGCCAACTAAGTGCTCCAGGCTTGGCTCCTCCTGTAATTCCTCCACTGCCATCATGCACCTCGACAAATTGGACAGATGGATAGTGCTGGCAGACCAAAGTTAACGTGCAGATGCAAGCGCTAATGGATGATTCATTATGTGCACTTTTATGCTTGTAAATACGCTCCCAGTTCCCAGAGTTTTGCCTGTGTGTAATTGAGCTGTAAACTTTGAATGTGGAGTGTTTCCCCCTCCCCCCGAAAAGAGACAAATTGATGTTGAAATTTGGTTCCAAAATTCTGGCATCGCGAACAGGCAAGCCAGCACTCTTGGGCACTTGAAACTTGGTTATAGCTGTGATGGTGAAGGAAAGGCAATTTTATCCAACATATAAATATGCAGTTCGCGTTTGACAGTTAGCGGCGATAAATGGGAAGGAAATGTGTGTGTGTTGACTCCTAAATGATTTTTATGAGTTTTATTTTAATTGTGTGTTTTGTTTACCGGATCCACTCTGCAATAATTAATCTGCTCACAATCGGGTTGTCATTTTATTCGATAATAGTGATGTAATTGCGAGAACAGAAGCCAAAAAATGTTTGGATCAGTCGGCCCCTATTCCATTTTTATCCAATGTATTGTTTTTTTCTTTTTTCTCTGCTTTGCAACTATGAAAAGTAAATTAGCTGGCCAGCACCTACATACTTTTGTGGGTGAAGTGAAGATGTCCTGGATATCTATAAAAATTAATAAAAAAAAACTATACTATATTTGGGATATTTTACATTTTATAGCAAAAGAGTATTTCTAATTTGCCTTAATAACATTTTCCTTGTGAGAAGTCATCCTTCATCATAATGGCCCTAAGCATCGCTGCAACATGATGCCAAAATGTGATCTCACATTATTTTCCTTCACAGCCCCACATTAGTATACCCTCCCCATATTGCCATTAGCCATTATATAAATATGGTCATTTCTCCATTATTTGACAAGTGGATGGTCCTGCAGGCGGCGTGGTGACAGCTCAAATGTTATTTCTGGTGCTGCTGCTTTACATTCAGCCTCGGAGGACAGCGATTGTGGCCACCGCGTGTTCCACTGGGAAATGGGGGTTATGTGCTCTGAGCCGGGCCACCTCACTGGGAGCGCTGGAGAGAGGAGGGGTGGAAAATGATATTTACAGGTTAGAGGTCCGGAAACTGTGACTCCCCCACACCGCGTCCCCCTGACATCCTTCAACCGCATCAGAGAAGGCCATGAAGCTATTTTGCACAAAAATGGTTTTATGAGAAATGAAGGAAGGACTTTTTTCTAAGATTGTTGTTGGTATGCATTCATAACAAATGTCAAACTTTCAGTCAAGGAAATGCTTAATTTCACATTACTTTAGGGATCTACATTTAGAATTATTTTTAAATGTGTATCTCAGTGCGTGGATCTACTCTTAAAACATGTCCAAACACTTACATGGATTCAAGAGTGATGCCTTCAGCACAGAGCAAGGAGTTGGGGACAGGTGTTGGGTCGGAGAGTGTTTGGACCTGTGTGTGTGTGTGTGTATGATGTTGCTGTTCTAATCATTTTGGACAATTTGGACCTAAACCGTACTGCTTTTCAAAACATGTACGTACAAAGTTGTCGGACAAAAATGTTATCTTGGTCAGTGGATTTGGGTTGCTCATAATTTTTTATTGATTGATGTGAATTATGACTTTAATATCTAAAGCCTATTTTTTAGCACATTTCTGAAGGAAACGTTTGCAATGAGGAATTATGTTAAGAAAGATTAATCTTATTGTAGTGCTAGTGATAATGTTAGTTTCTTCCTTATTTAACATATCAATAAGTCGTTTGGCTAAAATATTTCCAGCACACAAGGTCAGGAATCTAGTTTCCCCAAGTTCACCCACGGTGTTAAGGATTAAGATTGGCTTTAAGTCGTAATGGTACACATGAAATAAAACCTGTGGGGTAGACGTTTTTATAGAATCCTTGCAAAAAAGGGAGGCTCTTTCGCTCGATTTGATGTGGGTTACAGAGGAGGGGAAGATTTGATTTTCCTCTGAAATTGTTTTAAGACTGGAAAAGGGCACAGAACGTCGCCAGCCACAGCAGCGGACTGTTGTGAGTAAAGGAGATGCATCGAAGAACCCCAGAAATGTCTGTAGATTTCGGAGGTAATTAGCGGCCAGGACTGTGACTGCGAGACAGACAAGCGTGCCTCGGCAGCTAAATGGTTATTACGGCTTCACTGTGCACGAGTGACTTTTACATAAAGACAGTAGGTGGTCGCCATGCAGCTTTAATGCAAAAACTGCCTTACCTGTCATTCAAGCCACTCTTTTTATTCATTTATTCAACTTTCTCTGAGCCCTGTTTATGGATGACTGAATATTGATACTGGTGATGAAAAATTGATCGTTTCTGCCTGGTCAACAGATATATGGATACAAAAAATGTTGGTATTTTTACTGGGATCTGTCACAATCATTTAGGTCTGTATAATGTTGGATACAAAATTAAAATTGTCTTTGTTATTAATTGTTCTTTGTTGTTGACTGAAGCTGAGACTGAAGCACAAGAACTAAACAAATACATTTTTTGGTAATAGTCCATTTTACAAACAAAAGCATGAGACTGACATATTTACATTAAATGTAATTGCACCAACAATGTTCTTTTAATGATGAATTTGGCCTGAGAACATTGTTACTGAACAGTATTGAATTATTTGTAAATTAGGGCCGGGACTCGATTAAAAAAATGTATTAGAGGATTTGTAATTAATTAATTGCAATTAATCGCATTATTTATATTATATTATAATATTTGACCTGAGAGCGGAGAGAAGTAATTTTTTTCACATGGTTTTTTAGTTTACCATTGAATAATGGCTGCTCCTCCTCCGCCTTCTCCGTTCACGCACAGAAGTCGCTGCTCTTCCTCTTCACACAGAGTCCATCGCTCCATACACAGCGCTCATTCCCGTCTAACTCACTGGGTTTTAGACACCACTAAAGTTGGTCTATGCTTGTAATAATGTACTTTTGAATAAAAAAAGTCCCGGAGCCATGCACGGAGCTCGATTTGGTGCTCCAGTACAAATCGGTCTGTCTGAAACCAGTGGCGGCTGGTGGAATTTTCTTCTGGGGGGGCTATGAATATGATGACTAGATATATACCAGCAGTAAGTAAGTTTACACTGACTGTTGTGACTGAAGCCTCACACGAGAATCGCAGGGCAAGTTCAAATGCACCACAGAATTTGACACAGTCTATTATTTTTGATAGGATGTGCCTATTCTTGTCAACCTCCTCATTGTGCTTTCTGATCCCTACCCTGTAGCTTTCATCCAGCTGGGATGAAATATTTATCTTCCCAAACATAGCTAATTTGAGGGCATTTTGCATGTGGATACCAGTCTGCTCATGCTTCTTTGCCTTTTCTGAAAAGTGCTTCAGATCAGTCATACCTGTCTTGATCCATGCTGGGTCAGATCCTGATGTTTGAAACAAGAGGCATGGAAAGCAAAATAAAGCATTAGCCTCGCTACATGCTGCTAGCCAAGATTTGGCGCTGAACCAGGTCCTGGACTGCTGACTAATGGTAATATTTGGCTGATCAGGTCCAAGCTCTTTAACCTCAACCTTCTCCTGGTATGATCTTCTCTCAAACGGTATTGTTTTGAGTGATCTAACTGAATTATTCTTTTTTTCGTTCTCCATTTTGCGTCTCTTTACGTTCGTCTCAAACTCCCGCAGCTTGACCTGTCAATCACTGTAAACGGACGTCACAGACAGTGACAGTACAGGTCGCGGGCGATCCCGCCCCCTCAGGGCGCACTTCTCCTGCGCCCCCAAATCGTCTTATCTCTTGCATTGAAGAGGAGCTACTGCGCATGTACAACTTTTAACGAGAGTCCATACACGGCTCAGGGCGCAATCTTTTGCGCCCTGAGGCGGAAATACGTCCTCAGTCCGACACAGACAACGCTGATGAGCTTAATCAATCCAA